TAGGATCGAAAGGGTCTGAATAGCTTAGTTGATAAGAGCAGTCGCCCGGAAAGTGAAAGACGCGGGTTCGATTCCCGCTTCAGCGACTTTTCGGACCTATATTTTTCGCGCCTATTTCCCCATATGTAAGTTTCGAGATTAATTTATATATGGAACTTTGTGATCTCAAACCAAGAGATACAGTTCCGAATAATTAATTTTTCGTGCTTTGGCTCTGTTGGCCGATTTAGAAAACATCATATGTATATTCTTTATATTGAGAGCCGATAAAAATATTTATTTCTGACTTTTAAATTTAATTCTTTTTTTATTTTTAAATATTGAAATATTTTGTAGATTTTTTTTCTCGAAATCTTCATTAGCAAATCCAATATTTTTAATTATTTTTTCATTATTTATATGGATTCCTAGTTCTATTGCAATATTTATTGCCCGGAGACGTTACGACAGTCTTAGGCGCTCCTTGAATTTGATCGTGCGCCCCAGTGACAAAGGCTTTATTATTTTGCAAAACTTCAAAAATAATAGACTTCAAATTTTTGCGCCCTTTGCGAAAAGATTTTTGACTCTTCTTCTTTCACAATATTTATTTGCTTCGGTTAGAATACAAGCTAGTTTCGTTGCACTTAAGGGTATAACTGAAAGCGTTATCGCAGGTAAAATATACTAGACGCCTTTGTTCTCGCGAAAACGTGTCGCCTCACGCGTGCGTCCGCTCCTCTCCGCGATCGAGTTAGCTCTGGTCCGCTCGCCCGAGTGGGGGGCTCCTAGGCACGCTCCTTGCCGAGTATTACTACGCGCGATAAGGCGCGGTCCCAAATTCGCGCGCGAAAGACAAATTAAAATGAATCGTTTTTACGATACACCATCCTATGTCTCACAAACGAGGAATGATTGTGAGTTTAGTTAACAGAATGTTTTCTATTTCGGATCCCCAATTCTATGAAAAAAACCTGTGTCATATTATAAAAATCCTTCTTGATAACGGCTACTCGTTGCCTTTTATTTTTCACACGATTAATTCTAGAATTGGGAAGATCATTTATGATAACATAAAAACGTAGCAGCTAATAATCTTAGAAATAACAACAAGTATTTTGACATACCGTATGTGAAAAATATGTCAGAGAGATTTTTTGGCATCACTAAAAAATATGATCTCAACATCGCCTATTCTTGTGACAATACCTTGAGGAGGTTTATTAAAACCGGAAAAGATCGCTGTGATATTATATCCCGGAACAATGTAGTTTACAAAATCAACTGCAAGGATTGTGAAGCCACATATATCGGACAGACAAAAAGACAACTGAAAACAAGAATTATAGAGCATCATTCTAATATCAATAGAGCAGTATCACCATCGGTCATATCCTGTCATCATTTGGACCTAAATCACGATTTTGACTGAGACGGTGTGGAGATTTTAGACGAAGAACCCACCTATTATAAAAGAATCATTTCAGAAATGATTCACATTAAACGACAATCTTTTGGTTTGAACAAACAAAACGATACAGAATCCTTGTCGAATAAATATTTTCCTATCATTAACTCTTCTCTCTTCCCACTTTTTAACCCGTTTCTCTCTTAGTTTTTTTCTTAGTTTCTTTCTTCCCCCTTCCCCCTCCCGCACTAAAGACTTCCCTAATTTCGTTCCTTTTCCTTTATTCTTTCCTCTGTCTCCTCTTGCGTAGCACCGATTTCTTTATAATAGTGTCAGACATTTCTCAGTTTCATTAGTCGTTTTCACACCAATTATATCTGTTGACTATATGACAATAAGCGTTGTTACAACCATGACTCTTCTCTCTTTTTATGTACGTATAAAAAAATTTTTTATTTTATTTTGTGTAAGAATTTTATTATTTTATTTTTAACTTCTGTATTTAGTTTTAATTTTTATGATCTTAACTTTTTTCTGGTATATTATCGTTACAGTCTCTCTATTCGTCATTATAACCCAGCAGCTTATATTTAAAGACAATTATTCTCATAGAAGACATTTACGTGTGCGAATTCCGTTTTAATATGTGTCTTTATCTATTGTATTAAATAATAATTTTGTATTCTCATACTGAAGATGGTCTAAAAAAGACCAAAACGTTTATGTTTTACTTTAATACTTTGTATTTAAAAAAATATTTTTGGCCACAATAACGGCTTCGGCTCTCAGCCCTCTTTTTCTATTTGTATTTTAATCTCACGAGCCTATTTAAGTTTTATTTTATTCATTTGTTAAAAATATATATTATTAGAATAAATTAAATTCTGATAATCATTTGTGCGATTTAATTAAAATTGATATAAAAATTAAACTTACTTAAGTCAGTTTTTATTTCATTTAAAATTTACAACGTCTCAATATGCCTAATAAACTAAAATTGACAATTGTTAAAAAAATAGATATGGATCTTATTTGTCTAAAATTTTTTCACATGATTGACTGCTGCATAACCAAGGTTTAAAGTTTAAATAATGACTGATTACTTTTTCAAAATTTTTCAATTAATAGTATTAAACTATGTGCATTTAATTTTATGCATGTATAGACATAAAAGTTATGAAATTTTTATCGATGCTCTTATAGTTACTTTTTTGCGACCATTTTCTTCATAATCTTAAAAAAATGGTGCGCATACAGTATATGCGTTTTTTAATTTTTTATTTTTTATTTAAAAAAATCTAATATGTGTTTATATATTTAATTAAGAAATTGTTTAGTGCTTTGGCTATCGAAAACATTAGATGATAATTCTGTAACTCGAAAGCACATAATTTTTCTACTGCGTCAAAATTCATCTTATCTATAAATTTATTGTCACTTACAAAGACTGCTAAACAAAATATTGATGCGTTATCAATAAGCAGTTGGGCCATATACACATGCATTACAACCAACACTTTGAAAAAGCATTTTCAATATCTTTTACAGAATTCACATCAAAATTATTTTTGAAAAATGTGTTCTCTCTACATGAAGATACAAAGCTAATCATTCTATTATTGTTAGAATCATATACTACGTCATTAATTATTGCGGTTTGATCTTCTGAAATAATACGTTCATAGGATAATTTCGTTTTGTTAAGAATAATTTTAATTCTTTTAATCGAACAATCCCATCGACTATATTACTTTTCTTATCTAAACATCTATTAATTGTTGTAATTGATGAATACATTTTGTACATTAGCATGTAAAATGAGCATGTAAAATTTATAGAGCAAATGATCACCAACAATAAAGATATATGTATAAACTAAAAAGTTTTAAAGGTTCAGTAAATTTGTTTCCGTTTAAAAGTTTAGTTAAATCTTTTTTTGCAAATCTTTCCAATTCTATTATACATGTATCATCTAATTTTGAAATTGATATAATATTGAACAAATTATTAAATTCTAAATTGATAATAGGCCAACTGAACGTGGCTCGTCATCCGACCGATCCCGGACGAGCCCCCAAAATGTTACGTCCGCGACCACCCTTCGGGTTATCCCACAGAAATGTCGCGCGCACTCAAACTCTCACACGCCGGAAATGAATACACTCGCGTAGCAAAGCAATGAACTTTAATATAACAAGCCAATATACCGTAGCGATACAATATAATACCAACTGTCGTCTCTCCAAACTATGTTGCTCGTTGTTATTTTCACTATTCATTCTTGTTCTTTCGGGTTCGTGCCTCGTTCTTTCGGGTTCTTTCGGGTTCGTGCCTCGTTCTTTCGGGTTCGTTCTTTCGCGTTCGTGCCTCGTTCTTTCGGATTCTTTCGGGTTCGTACCTCGTTCTTTCAGGTTCGTTTTTTCGCGTTCGTTCTTTCGGGTTCGTACCTCGTTCTTTCAGGTTCTTTCGGGTTTGTTTTTTCGCGTTCGTTCTTTCAGGTTCGTTTTTTCGGGTTCGTTTTTTCGGGTTCGTTCTTTCGCGTTTGTTCTTTTCGGGTTCGTTCTTTCGGGTTTGTTTTATTGGATTCGTTCTTTCGGGTTCGTTCACTCACGTCCTTGACAGTTTCGAAAATCGTTCCTGACTCGATCACAGCCTCGTTGCTCGCGTCGATCTGAAAATCCATACGTGTAGGGAAGGAATATGTGCCAAATCTTTCTCTATCCTGATTCGTCAAGTGCTCGCGAAAACGGCAACTGGCGCAGTGTTGCATGCTCTCTCAATCGGGAATGGTTTCAATTTCACAAAATCAAGGGTAGAAATATCGCAAAAGCGTAGATCATGAAGTACATTCTCGCCATGAAGTACTCGTAACAAATGAAGCAATGTCGACGAATCCTTTGACCCAAGAGGAATCCTATTGTACGAGAAATGATGTGATCTCGTATGCGTGATGCGAGTATTTTGATGTCCGTAATGCTCGTAATTGTATCGTCTCGCCAAACTGTGATGTGACGGGGAAATCCACATAACATATGCAATCAAATTTAATTCTCAAGATCGAGATTTATTGTTACGGTGCCGAGTAGATTGATGTACAATGTTCGTGCGTTCGCTCGCCTGTTGTTGTGAATGTCTTGTTTGTTATTCGCGCGACGGTTGGAAACAAAGTGATTTCACGGACACATCAATGGAGATCATCGAGGCTCATTTCCCCACTCGTCCGTGTTTTCGGAATACGCCGAATTTCGCCGAGATAAGACGAGAAGGAAAACAATGACATCACCGCAATCGGTGTCTGGCGTCAATCATATAGGTCGTGTATCGAACATCCCGCCCCCCTTGAAGGGCATGCCTTCAACACGTGAATTATTATTCGCGATCCAATTAGATACATGTGATATCCTAAATTGAAATATAAATAAAGAGTAAATATAGTAACATAAGTAGAACTTGAAAATGACATTATCGCACATCACAATTTACAATAAAAAAAAATTGTCTCGTCAAATTGTCCCAATAAATTATTGCCTTCATTAGCTCGCGATCAATCTACTCGAGGTCAAAATTGATCAAATAAATCATAATTAAAATTTTACAATGTGTAACACGCGTTTCAATCGGCAGGTGCCTCGTCTATCGGAAGGATAGCTAGCTTCGTTAGCGGCCTTGTTAATTGACCCTTTGCGGTCCTTAATGTGGCCGTCCTTGCAATACCGTCAGGGCCCGGATGAAGTTGTTGCACCCTGCCTATTAACCACTGCAGCGGCCCCAAGCCTGGTTGCTGCACCATGGCGAGCTGACCGATTTTCAATTGCTGGCCCCTGCTAGCCCTCCATTTTTGTCGCTCGATTAGAGTATGTAAATATTCGGCGCTCCAACGTTTCCAAAAGTGTTGCCAAAGCTGTTCTACGCGTTGCCATCGCAGTAGTCGGCCCGGATTCTCCTTCGTAAGATCTGCAACTGGGAAACTGTTTAGCGCTGCACCAATCAAGAAATGTCCCGGCGTAATACAATGCAGATCGTTTGGATCTTCGCTTAACGGGGTCAACGGTCGCGAATTTAAAATCGCTCCTATCTCGCATAACACGGTTTGCATCTCTTCATATGTGAGATTCGCGTTACCTACTATTCGGTTAATATGAAATTTCGCCGACTTCACGGCCGCCTCCCACAGGCCCCCGACATGTGGAGCGTGGGGCGGTATGAAATGCCAATTGATTTCATTATCTCGCATAAAACGCCGTATCGCAAACTGCGTGTCGTCGTCGTTGATCAAGTCATACAACTCCTTTATTTGTTTGCGCGCGCCGACAAACGTAGTGCCGTTATCTGAATATACACATGCCGGCTTGCCTCTACGCGATATAAAACGTTTAAAGGCGCCAAGGAACGCTTCCGATGTTAAATCGGTTACAATTTCGAGATGTACGGCCCTGGTCGAGAAACAAACGAACACCGACATATACGCCTTGTGTAATTTGGCATTACGTCTCTTGCCCTCTTTCAAGAGTATGGGTCCGGCATAATCTACGCCGCTATGCGTGAACGGTCTCGAAGCCGTCACGCGTTGCGCGGGCAAATCTGCCATTAATGCTTGCGATACAGCCGGCTTACACTTGAAGCAGGTTACGCAATTGTGAATTGTTTTTTGGACAGCCGAACGCGCCGCCAGAGGCCAAAATCGTCGACGCACCGCATGCATTGTGGCCTGTAGGCCTGAATGCAAATTTTTTACATGCTCTCGCTGTATGATTAAGGTTGTCAATCGGTGACTCTTCGGCAATAGCATGGGATGTCGCGCGTCGTATGGCAATGCTGCATTGCTTATTCGGCCCCCCACTCTAATGATCTCGTGTTCATCCATAAACGGAGTCAATGACAGAATCCGACTTCCGCCGTCAACGTTCCGACCCTCGGTCAACTGTTTATGTTCCCTTGAAAAGGCATGTCTCTGTACGCACCTCACCGCGACTCGCAGAGCTACTGTTATTTCGTGATGCGAAATAAACGTTGTCTGATATTTGATCGTACGCGAACGCGCTACTCTCAGGCAGTAAGCGATGATTCGCAATGCCCTGTCTAAATTGAAATGTTTGTCCAACAAATTTAGTACAATCGATTGTTGTATGGATATCGCCGCTGCGGTTACCCTTTTTTGTTCCGGTAACTCGCCCGACAAGTCGACACACAATTTGACCGGCCAATGTTCCTCAGTTAACTGCAGGAATGCAGGTCCGTTCCACCAAATTGTCGATTGCATTAAGCCCGCCAGGTCGACGCCGCGCGATAATATATCCGCGGGATTGTGAGCGGACGGCACGTGCCGCCAACTTGATCTCCTGGTAAGGCGCTGAATTTCGCCAACGCGATTGGCCACGAAAGCGTTCCATTTACGCGACGGCGACGATATCCATTGTATAGTAATTGTGGAATCCGTCCATAAAATTATCTCTGATTTTGATAAATCAACCGATGCGCGAATCTTCTCGATTAAATGTGATAGCAGTAACGCGGCATTCAATTCTAGCCGCGTTAACGAAACTGCTCTAATTGGTGCTATTCGTGATTTGGAAATTAAAAGTTCCACCCGGTATCCGTCGGAATCGCGCGTTCTTATGTATACGCACGCGCCGTACGCACGCTCGCTCGCGTCACAAAAGCCGTGTACCTGTGATTTGCGCGCGTCCGCCCGAAATCCGACAAAACGCGGCACACGTAATTCGCGAAGGCGCGTCAATTGTTGTTTTACGTTCCGCCATCGCTGATGCAAATCTTGCGGCAACGATTCGTCCCACCCGACGCGAGCCTGCCACGTATCTTGCATGATCATTTTTGCCACAACTGTCAGTGGCCCTAATAAACCCAAAGGGTCGAAGACTCGCGATTTCCGACAAGATTGTCCGCTTCGTTATGCTACCCGTCGGTGCGCCGCAATTGTATCCGAAGCGAAATCCGTCGCTGGACGGATCCCATGCGACTCCCAATATTTTCGAGCTCGCTTCATCGTCTAATGACACCTCCGCACTCGTTGTGTCACTAATGCCCTGTAACAATTCTCGGCAATTCGATGATCATTTGCCGAGCTCAAACTGTCCGCGCCTTAACAAGGCTATCACCTCGTCACGAATGCGCCCTGCTTCGGACAATGTATTGGCGCCCGCGAGTAAGTCATCTACATAAAAATCCCGAAGAACGCATTGTGCCCTCGCAGGATAATCGAGGGCATGTTTTTGTGCCAAATGTTGAAGGCATCTCGTCGCGAGAAATGGCGGCGAACCCGTGCCGTAAGTAACGGTAAGCAACTCATAAGTACCGACTGGCGAATTCGAGTTCTCGCGCCACAATATTCGTTGCAGATGTAGCTGTGACTCATGAATAAGTATCTGTCGATACATTTTAACTATGTCTGCAGTAAAAACGTACGCGAACGTGCGAAAACGAGTGAGAATTGATATCAAATCCTGCTGAACCGTAGGACCTATCATCAAGGCGTCATTCAAAGAAATTCCCGACGTGGTTTTGCACGATGTGTCAAAAACCACACGTAACTTCGCATTCCGGCCGATCCCCTTAAACACCCCATGATGAGGCAGATAAACGGATTCCCTATCGACCGCATGTGCGGGTACGAGTCGCATGTGTCCCAAGGCTAAATACTCGCGCAAAAATTGAACATATGAAGTTCTCATACTTGAGTCACGATGAAGTCGCTTCTCAAGACCAAGGAATCGCTTCATTGCTATTTCGCGCGAGTCTCCCAGCTTTTGCAAAATATCGTTTTTGATGGGCAGCGTCACGATGTATCTGCCCTTGTTATTGGTTGACACGTTGTTTATGAAATGGGTTTCACAGGTGCGCGCTCGTCCTTGGTGTAATGATTCGAATCGCCTAACTCCTCGATCCGCCAAAATCGTTCGATTTGTTCGTGAAGTTTTAAATTGCTAATTGATACGTGAAACGAGTGCAGCCCAGTCTCCGGTCGCGATGCACCGACGCGTGCGCGTCCGCCCACAATCCACCCCAAACGTGTTTTTTGAAGGATTGGATATCCGGAAGTCGCCTGAATCTGCCCCACGCACAACAATTGCCAAAATAGATCGGCGCCTATTAACAAGTCGACGTCAGACGACACGTTGAATCGCGGATCCGCCAACTCGACGCCGGAAGGCAGTTTGAATGTTTCACGTTTAATAGTGTTTAACGGAAGCTTGTCCTTTATGATTCGCTCCGCCACGATGCACTCGATCTCAGCCGCGAATGAATTGAATCGCGATTGCAGTTTGATGTCTACGTTTTCGTTTGAAATGGATGTGTCGTCGTATATGCCCAACACCGAGAAATTTACGGATTGCGGTTTTAAACCCAACAATTTTACATATTTGGTTGTCACGAAATTCACCTGTGACCCTGAATCTAACAGAGCACGGCATGTCTTGCGAGCACCGTTCGCATCGTATATGTAAACGATCGCCGTCGAGAGTAACACCTCCGTATCGCCTCGCTCGACCGCGCTATGAGTCGCGACGGCCGATCGCCCGTCCGCGACCGGCGACGAGTCGGTCGGCACCGACGGCGCGCCCGCGTTATTTATCTCTCTCTCATTTTTGGATATATGCAATAACGTGTTATGTTTTAAATTGCACGTTCTGCAACTGCCAGAAGGGCATTTGGTTGCTATGTGATTCTGGCTGCGCAAGCAGTTGAGGCACATTCTTCTGCTACGCATTTCCGCGATTCGCTGGCTGATCGGCAGTTTCAGGAATTCCTTACAAAAGTAAATTAAATGCTCGCTGGCGCAATAGTTGCACTTGCCCCTCTCGATAGTCGTGTGCAATGCTTGACGTCCAACGTTAGAACGCGATTGCGATCGAGAGTCGGAGCGAACGGACGAGATTGAATTCTTTCTCGCGGATTCCTCCAGAATCTGACTGCGATGCGAAAGAAAGGTAATTAGCTCCTTAAATGTGGGCAATTCAGAGCCCTGCAACGAAGCATGCCACTCACGCGACGTGATTGTGTCTAATTTAAACGTTATAATATGAATAAGCAAAGCATCCCATTTATCAGCATTACAATTTAATGCCGTTAACGCGCGAATATGTATCGATGCCCCGTCAGCTAATTGCCGAAGGTCGATCGCGTTTTCTTTTGTTATAACTGGCAATTCAAATATTGTCCGCACATGAGTTTGTATAATCACGCGTTTGTTATCGTATCGCTCCTTTAAGAGGCTCCACGCAAGGTCATAATTGTTTCCAGAAATTTCTAAAGGTTTCACAATGTCAAGTGCCTTGTCCGTTAACGCTGCCCGTAAATATTAAAACCGTTGAACATCGCTCAACGACGTGTTATTTTGAATTATTGTTATAAAGGTATCTCGAAACGGGAACCAATCTTCGTATTTTCCCGAAAAAGTTGGCAAATTAATTTTTGGCAAGCGTACATGAGATATAGCCTCGATCTCGACTCTTGTTGAACTCTGCTTGGAACCTCTCCGCGCGCTCGATTGATTGTCGCATTGTAAAAGTCGGCGAAATTTCGCACATAATGCATAAAATGAATCCTCGAACTCGATTCTATCGTTTGCCTCCTCCGCGTCGATCATTTCAATTTGTGTTTGTATTTTACAATAATCTTCCCAGAACGATTCTAGACGGGCTTGACGGATTTCTACCTGCGCTCGGGTATCGTCGGTTAATGCGACTATATTGTTTAAAAAAGTCTCCATGCGCGTGCATGAGCCCTTAACAATTCCGCGTCGTCGTTTGTAATCGGCTAAATTGGATGATGCACGAAGCGTCTCTGCGCTGGACACGCCCGCCGCTGGGCTATGATCGAGAGGCATAATTTCAAAATCGCGTGATCCAAACTCGAATACGTTAACGATTGATTGGTGCAGATAAACAGACTCACCAGTCACGTCGTCACCTTACTTGCGTCAATGTGCCACGTTACTACTCGGGATGCTGCTCCGAATCCGGAATCGTCCTCAGCGATCCGCAATTATGTATCGCAATGCAACCCGACACCCGGCAGCATGCGCCTTATTCACTTCCTTTCTGGTCAAATTGTCTGCCTTGTAGACGAACGAACGTCCTCATGCCCGCTGCTGCTTTGCTTCGACCTTATCACTCGTCGCTTGTGTACATTGCTTCCCCAGAATAATACATCCGGCTCGAAGGACCAACTTTTGTACGAGAAATGATGTGATCTCGTATGCGTGATGCAAGTATTTTGATGTCCGTAATGCTCTTAATTGTATCGTCTCGCCAAACTGTGATGTGACGGGGAAATCCACGTAACATATGCAATCAAATTTAATTCTCAAGATCGAGATTTATTGTTACGGTGCCGAGTAGATCGATGTACAATGTTCGTGCGTTCGCTCGCCTGTTGTGAATGTCTTGTTTGTTATTCGCGCGACGGTTGGAAACGAAGTGATTTCACGGACACATTGATGGAGATCATCGAGGCTCATTTCCCCACTCGTCCGTGTTTTCGGAATACGCCGAATTTCGCCGAGATAAGACGAGAAGGAAAACAGTGACATCACCGCGATCGGTGTCTGGCGTCAATCATATAGATTGTGTATCGAACACCTATTACTTGCATATTCGAAGAATTCATCTCGTTAGGAACCTCCTGGCCCCTCATGTCGACATGGGGATTCGCATGTACTGCAACGTCTTTTCCTGTGCCGAAACGCCAAGTTCGGACAGGGGAGCGTTCAATTTAAAGATTCTCCAAGTTTAACTAATAAAACGGTAAAAATCGGTATCAGAAGAGTTAATTATTCGCACTTAGGGGCGTTCATTAACTCACGGTAAAGTTGGGCGCCAGGCGCATGTGAATGCGCCACGAGACTAATGTGAACGGTACTTAAGTTAACTTCCCCAGATGTTATACAGAGTCGCGGGTCTAGAGGATTGTTGGGTCTATGGTTGAGAGAGAGGTATAGAGAGACATACACGTGGTGTTATAATTCAACAGATATATATATTTGACACTTAGGATTTACAATTTGACATCGGATACATACAATTGGATAATATAATTATGTAACAAACAGTAATATATAAACTAGCGGTAGGGAAACAAAAATATAATATAAAGATCTGCGAATATCGGTATTTCGGTATTGATCTACAAAATTCTTATTAATTATACAATATGAAACATCTTAGATAATTTCGCGACAATTGTATGCGAACGGGATAAACAAAGACAAAATCGGTAAACGTTATGATGGTCTAACTTATTTTTGCGGGCACGCGGTATAGACAGAGGTCACAATGCGATACTCCGAGACACGGCACGGTATGCAAAAAAAAGATAACAACTAGATGACGGAAATTTCGTGACTCTTTCGCCCGACTCTCTCGCCGAGTCGAAAACAATGAAATAGTTAACAAACTCGCGGAGACGGCTACACGCAAATTCCGAAAATCTAATAATCGAGCCTATAGGAAACGTGACTCTGAATATCTCGGTAACCCGAATTTATAATAATTACTTTCGAGACGATGGACTGTCGGCGGCACTTTTCGGAGAGGGCTCGGCTCGCGAAACGCAAAGTCGGCTGGCCCCGCGATACGATACTCCAAAAAAAGACAAGAGAGAGACCGCTCTCTCACACACAAAACGATACGAAAAATGAGAGAGTGCGGTACTCACGGTAATTACGATACACGATCAATATCTACGGTACCAACCAACACGGATCTACGACTACTCGAGAGGCGGCTTACAGTTTCTGGTGACGAGTTCTGGTCCTCGGGTCGCACGTGTGGAAGTTCTGGAGGCCCCCTCTCTGGCCTAAGGCACACCGAACAGTGGAGAGCCGGGCCTCGCGCGTCTCGGTACCTTCTTTTTCGCGCCGATCTCTTGCGCATTCCCTCGATGATAGGGTCGATGGCGGGGGCCCTAAGGTCTTTCCCCGCCTCCCCCTTTAGCTGAGGTAATTCTCACGCCGGTAACGTATCGCTGTTTGAGAGGATTTTTCTCCGGGTTTCTTCCCGCGGCATCTCTCCTTCGGGAACAAGCGGGAGGCTGGCCGGGCCCTCCGTAGTCCCCCTTCAGGATCGGCCCTGTGGTTGATTTGGTTCCCGGAGTCCTCTCGGTATCTATAATGTTTTCAACGCCTAAATTCTGCGCGAGATATATCAAAGTAAATTACGGATTCTTGATACTTAACTGCGCGAGGTCCCGCGCTCTCTCTCTCTCTCCTACGCTCGCTCCATCCTTCTTTCGCGCTGCGGTATTCCGGCATCCTCCTTCTCTCTCTTGCTGCGGCACTCCGGCATCCTCCCTCTCTCTCTTGCTTCACATGTCTCTCTCCGGCCGCTCTCTCGAGCCGTCCTTGTCGCTCTACCTACAAATCGTGTCGCACGCGCATCGACAGGCCGATGCTGCGTGCAACTGCGATTCTCGCATGAAATACGGTAAAACGGAATACGGAAAAACGACGGATCGCACCCCCCCCCCCGAAGTGAGGGGCGCTCCAGATCTCCGCGGCCTACCCGATCGGGCTTTTCGCCCTTGTGACGGCGCTCCAAAAGCGTCACGTCACAGTACAGACGAATTTGTGGCAAGAGATTCGTTGTGCCCGTAATCATACGTCGACTCGCGATTCGTCGCCAAATTAAGGGGGACCATTTGCACGTTCTCCGGATACGAGATGGGTTCTGGCACTACATTTTCATTGGCACCGTTCATTTTGACATCGGCATTGGTACCTTCATCGACAACTTCCATGGCATCGGTATCGTTAGAGAGAATTATAACTTCATCGGCAACTTCCATGGCATCGGTATCGTTAGAGAGAGTTATAACTTCATAAATAATTTGGACATCGGTATCTGTACTGCCAGCTGACATTGTTATCTTCAATAGTAATTACTTCGATCTTGGGTTTTTTCGTCATTTCCGCCACAATTTTGCACTCGTCGTCACTCGTCTGACTGTCATCAAGTGTGTAATCCATGATTCTATTGATGTTAACGTCGTACAACTCACGATAAATCTCGTTTCTCTAAATCTGGGATTTCCGGGCACTCGTCGCGTGCCTGCTCCTTGTGCGTGCAATGTCAGCAAATCAAAGTGACAAAGAGTGGAAGCCGATGTATCCAATGATCGCCTTAAAGCGACCTTGCTATACCGCTGCTACCGTATCGTTGTTATACTGCTGACTGAAAAAATTCAAACTTAAAGACCTGCCGTCTCAATCGAGTATCGAGAAATGGGACAGCACGTGGCTATGTGTAAAAATCACTGAGTAGCTAATTGCCGAGCCAATGGTTCGATCCCTCGACTGTCAGCGGCCCCACATATTTCTTTAACAATAGGAGCGGACGTTTTGAGAAATTCGCAAAGAATTAAGTGCTTAAGCCGGCAAAGGGCAAATTTAAAAGACTGCAAACAAATGGAAGAATTATGAGATATTTACATTAGAAATCGTCGTTTTGAATAAACGAAAAATTTAATTTAAAAAAGATAGCTAGTTTTCTATTCTTGATGAACTACACGAAAGAACCCGAAAAAACGAGGCACGAACGCGAAAGAACGAACCCGAAAGAACGAGAATGAATAGTGAAAATAACAACAAGCAACATAGTTTGGAAAGACGACAATTGGTAAACGAGTTGCATGCGTCAACGAGAAAAAATTTCCCTCGAAGACATGTCATAGTGCGAGGATACGATGATCTGTGGCAAGCCGACATTGTCGAGATGCGTCCGTACTCACGTTTCAACAAAGGTTACCACTACATATTCACTGTCATCGATGTGTTGAGCAAGTATGCGTGGGCTGTACCACTCAAGAGTAAAGGAGGAAGCGAGACAGCTGATGCAATCGCCAAGATAATTCGGAATAGCAAGAGATCTCCGAAAAACATGCAAACTGATAACGGGAAGGAATTTTACAACGCTGATGTGCAACGACTTATGCGAAGACATGACATTAATCAATATTCTATATATTCGGTATTGAAGGCGTCGGTCGTCGAGCGATTCAATCGCACGCTAAAAAACGACATGTGGAAGATGTTTACGCTGAATGGCACTTACAAGTGGTTCAACATGCTGCCACGCCTCGTATCAGATTACAACGGACGCAAGCATCGAACGATTGGTATGCGACCTGCCGACGTTACCCCCGCGATCGCCGAAAGACTCTTGGCTACCGTGTACAATCGTGTAAAAATCGCGGGCCCGGCAAAGTTCAAAGTAGGTGATCAGGTACGTGTCAGCAAATACAAACAACTTTTCGAGAAGGAATACACACCAAATTGGACAACCGAGGTGTTTAAGATTGTTAAAGTGCAGCATACTAATCCCGTAACATATCTACTCGAGAATTATCGCAAAACATCTATCGCTGGAGCGTTTTACGAGCACGAGCTGCATTGCGCAAATTATCCGGATGTGTACCTCGTGGAGAAAATACTGCGCAGGAGGGGTGACGAGGTTTACGTGAAATGGTTGGGATTCGACAGTTCGCACAACTCTTGGATACATAAAAACAATGTTATTTAATGTATTTTATTCAATCATTTTATAACATACTATATATTGTATACCATATATGAAATATATAACAAAAAATATATATAACAAAAATATATATAATCCTCATTAATACATCCTTACAATATAATATAAATATAATAAATATAATAAATATAATAAATATAATTTACAACGGTATTCGATAATGTCCCCATGGCAAGGTGTCGGTCGAATCAGGTACGACATACCGCTTGTCGTCGTAGAAACATAGAGCAATTTTCGTCTCGCTGATGGTATACACTTTATGCAATTTCGATCTTATACATGACTGCTGACGCGTCATTTCAATTTCTTCATTAAGACAGCGCGTATAATCGTCGAATGTTATACTACGCGCTACGACGTTACTTTTGACACCTTTTGCCTTTTTAGTGTCTTTTTTTTACCGTCCACCCACAAAGCATACATTTTTGCTCTAAGCCCGACGAATTCGGTCATTATCGCACCGTTATTCTCATTTTTCATCAGACACGGCATTTTTTTATTCGCGAGCGGTATACTGTACACATTATTCGCAGCGTAATCGCTGGTATCGAATCGAGCGATATTGCGTTTCAAATTTTCATAGACATTGTGACATTTAATTTGATATATTAAACTGTCCGTGTCGGTGTACATTACTCTACAATTGTCACGATAGAGCGGTGACATGTATTCGTGGTGAAATTCATAAAGACATACTTTTGATATGTCGAGTATGCACATGCCGACGTAGATTGGTTTGTAAAATTTAACTTCGAGTTTGCATAATTCTATGGCAACTAATTTTTCCGAAAATATGCTTGTACTATGAAAATTTGGTTTCGCGATCATTGCCTCCGCACCGTACCGTCCGTCTCATTTTGTTAATAATTTTACATCCATATGAATGCGCACATTTTCCATCGTCTTGCCGAATACCGCATTATTCATTAATTTATATAAATTTTTTTCAAAATCGTTTTTTGCTTGTGTTCTAAACTGTGTGTTGAGTTCGATGTATTTTCGAAGCCACGCTGACTGCGTGAATTGTAGTATGCGGTATATTTTTGTTATGCGTAGCCCGTGGCGCGTACACTGCTGCAGATTACGATAGTGTATGACGTATCGCTTCTTATCGTAAAGCGTTGCGAGGAGTTTATACTCCCGCTTGCCGAGCGGCTTATCGCGCGTCGGGCAAAATGGTAGGTCAATATGCGCGTCATGAAGATGCTGCGGATACTCTAAATCTACTTCGAGAACATAGCCTATAGGCGAATCGAACGCAATAGATGATATATCAAAATTTGATACATCGTCGACTCACCGAAAATCGGCATACGGCAATGGTTGACACATTGCCCATCCGTACAAATTATTTACATCAAAATACATGAGGTAAGATGAGAGTTTCGATGGGTCGTACGATTGCATGTACTTGTTATTAGCCTGTGCGTATCGACCTGAACATTGACTAAGGCCGCCGCGTATACCTCGTTCGACAAACATTTCCATGTCAATGTCTGTCAATAATTCAAATTTTATATTTGTATGTTTTAACATGGCGTCCCATGTATATCCGGGGAGAGTATAATAATACGCGGAATCGAGTCCATAACTTTTTATAAAACTGTCACGAAAATTTTCAAATATGTCTGCCAATAACAAGACATCAATTTTTAAATATAAATCGCTATATTCGCCTAGCGTTCGAAGAGAGAATCGGCTCCAGACGGTCTCGGCGTGCCCGTAATCACTCTCGGATACTGTGTCGCCGGTTAGGGAGCTGTAAAATGAGTCACGCGGTGGTAAACATGTGTCTTGTAATCTGTCCACGCAATCTATGTATTCATACGGAAAGATGTCCTTCCGTGTCAATAAATTGAACGTATCTGTCGATAAATTTTCATATTCCGAATGTAAAATTTTTAGTTTATCTTTATCTAAAAATGACGCTAATTTGTCAAGACTAGCACTGAGAAACTTATACGAATCGATAAACCGTAATTTAATATAATTTTTCGAATTATTGTCTTGCGTCAATCTAACAGTTTTCGAGAATGATATATATTTTTCCTTTGTTATCGGTAGTAATTCGATTTTCTCTTTGAACGCTGTGACTATGTCCTCGATAATGAAATGTGCGTCGTAGCCGGACAGATTGTGAAAGACTATAGGAATACAAAATGATTCTTTGTAATTTAAGTTACAATTTGAATGCGCGGGGCCTCTGTACCGTCCGGTGAGATGGCAATGATCGCGAACGCGTGTATCGTCTTCGTCAAACGGTTTCCCACAAATGTGACAATGCGTCGCGGTGCGAAATTTTGCCCACTCGTCAGGCGTTAAATTTACCAAGGGGACATTGGTTGTTAAAATATTTTTTACGCGGATTGCTAAATTTTTAAGCTGTTCGGCGAATTACGCAACGCAATCGACACTACGGCGGGAATTGTACGCGGACAACGAACTGTCATACAAACACTGTACATAATACGCGATGCTGAATACTTGATGGTGTTGATAATTTTTGACATCTTCGATCTTTGTCAAAACACACTCCAAGTCGGCGTACACCACAAACGGCAGCCGCTCCTTCCTCGTGTAGTTGTCGAAGCTGAGCCACTTGTCCTTGTCGCTCGGCAAACGGATAGCGCAGTCATTTAGTTTTCCGCAGTCTACCGTATGCGCTTGCAATTTATCCTTCGAAAAGAAATAATGTAGGCATCTGTAAAAATAAAAAATTTAATTAAAATTATTTTTAATATAATTTATGTGTAATAAATATATACTTACCGATCGCATATATATCTTCTACATTTCTGTTTGTTCAGTTGCGAGCTCACGAGGCGAGACAGATTCTTTATCAACGCGAAATACCCGACGCTGTTTTCGTCCTTCACGTACAGCAAATTGACATGCTTGTCTCTTTTCTGCTTTGAAAGGCGTAGCGGGACGATGTTTTCGTTCTCGATGCTGTACACGTTTACGGAGATGTCGTTTGCCAGTTCAAATTTTTTAATGTGGTTCACAGTCACTGGAAACTCAATGTTTTGGAGATTCAGCACTGTGGTGTAATGCGGATAGAATTCTCGTTCCACATGTCTTTCAGCGGGGTACAGAGCGGCCACCACTGACCATGCGAAACACGCATTGTCCGCTGATTGCACATTAACCACCGCTCTCTTTGTCACAATTTTACGCGGTAATTTGACATGACATCCCGCGCGCATAGGATTATACTTGTTGATATTCACTGTCAAATCAATTATCCGCGACAATGCTCAGCCGCTATCGTGTTCCTGGAACTCTTCTAACGATGCTAGCGTGGGCTCGATAACGCGGTGCTCGTACTACTCGCGTACATCAGACGTGCGAAAGAGTTCAAAGTTTCTAGTGTTGATGCTTTTATTGGCGCGCTTATCACCGGACACAAACTCGCCGTTGAAAACGGTGTTCACCTTTACACTGGCGTGTCTCTGCAGCACGTTCTCCACGTTCTCGACTACAATGTCTTTGGCATTTTCCAAAAATTGACGCGGTTCGATATAGTCTACGTTAATTATCGCACCGGTCAGTATACTGGTATCGAACCCCGTATCGATTTCGCGCCAAACGAGTTTTTGCGCGTTATTGCCGCCGCCACTGTATTCAGGCACGGATCCACCGACATACCGTCTCTGCAAGCGCACCTTTGCACCTTCGAGTCGCGCTATTCTAGTTACCAGAGATTGTCTATGTCCAATCGAGAGACGCGGACGCTTGACACGGCTGCGTTCTTCCAGCTCTTCGATAAACTTTTCGCACTCTTGCAGCCATCCAAAATATTCGCCCAAGGTGGCAACTTGGTGGGAACGCTCCAACAGGTCGCGCTCAACATTCTCCGCGTTCTCCATTTTTTGTAAAAAATTCACTTGTACTGCACAGAAATAACTACTTTGCACACTAAACTTTTTTCTCACAGCTATTTTTCCTTGAGAAAAGCATGCGCTCTCATGGTCACCGTACTTTGATTTGACCCGGCAGCATCAGGGTCCTTATTCCGATCAACCTTTTGTTCGTCAACGTATGATTGTTTAACTTCTCCGGTATGCGTATCTACCCGCTGATAATTCGTAGGAATTTTTTCTAGGAAAAATTTAGATAACGTAGATTATAAAGCAGCCGCAGATTTTCGGCGCTTGTTTTGTTTATAAATTCCTGCAGCCGCTGATTATTGGCGCTGGTATTTCTTCCTGAGATAAACAATAAAGAACCGCCGCTTATTGGGGAGGTACCGCGAGGGTGAAATGCAATCCCCGCGAAAACATGTCGCGAGGGTGAAATGCAATCCCCGCGAAAACATGTCGCGAGGTTGCAGGCAGCGACTTGTTTGCCCCCAAACTTTACCCGCTGATATTTCTTAGAAATATACAGATAACGTATGGATCACGTATGGGGGGGGAAGAAACGCAACCCCCCCCCTTGATTGTCGGTCCTCGGCAGGCGGCAGCCCTTCTTAGAATTTGATTATCTTAGATTTTCAGAGAAAATTTAGATATCTGATTGTCGGTGCTCAAGCCTGGATTTAGCGGCAGCCCTTCTTAGAATTTGATTTACCAGAATTTTTACCTTATCTTGTAATAGATATTTGATTGTCGGCGCTCGCCAAGCGGCAGCCCTTTTGTTTAACTTTATCTTGTAATATATATCACTGTAATAGATATATATCGCTGTAATAAATATATGTTTATCTTTTGTTTATAAACATATCAGATAACATGATCGCCCCTTATCTGCTGATAAGACTCCCCCGCCCGCGTGACGTCATACTCCCTCGCCCCCGAACCCCCTCCCCCCCCGCCCCGCACCCCCCTCAGGGGACCTGGGTTAGAACCCGCCTTATATTCCTACTTATCGAAATATAAAAGCGCAGTATACACGGAATTGTAGTTCGTGAATTAAGTAATAATAAAGACAATACAAAACATATACGAAATCACGGTGTAATTGAATCGGAATACATCAACCACATAACATTTGGTGCCTCTTGTGAAGTCAAGGGCCTCCACAAGCAGAGGGAGAGAGGAGATCGGCTCGAGCACGGGTGCCAGGAAGAGAAGATACGCAAGTTACGTAGACAGCAGAATATTACGCAAGTGAATCGTTCGGATAGTGTCACGATGGCTGATAGGGTAAAGCTATTAGTGCAGAAACGTACGTCGTTAAAAACACAGATTACGTCGTTATCTAATTTAATCGATAAAAATAAAATTGACGCCACGACGTTAAAACTTCGGTACACACGTGTAAATCAGTTGTATCAGGCGTTCGAAGAGTTCAATGACGAGTTGATTGTGTTAGATCCTAATGCCGCGCATAATAGTGAGTTCGAGAAAGTGCAAGAGCGATATTATATTTTAGCGAGTAGAATCGAAGCGATGATAAACAGCGAAGGAACATTCCGCGCGAGTACAAGCACGCCCGACGGTAAAACGCGTTTGAACAACAGCGAGATCACGACGGTAATTAAGAAGCGACGCATAAAGTTACTCGAGGCGCCGTTGCCAAAATTTGATAGAAAGTACGAAAATTGGTTATTATTCAAAAACGCGTTTAACGATATGATCGGGATGCAGTCGGATTTGTCGGACATAGACAAACTTCATTATCTAAAGGCCGCACTCGTCGGTGACGCCGTGAATAAAACGAATATTCTTGCCGTCGATGTGGCAAATTACATAAAGGCATGGGAATTATTAGAGCGGTCGTATGAAATGAAGCGCATTTTAATATCATGACACATAGCATCAATTCTTAACTTACCGGCTCTCGACAAAGAAACAACCAACAGATTGACAAAAATCGCGGACGACGCACAGCAACACGTAGCCTGGTTACACGCGCTAGGAGTCGATATTAATAGTGAGATCGTGGTGCATGTTTTGGAAAGTAAGATACCGAAGACCACACTAGAAAAATGGGAGGCTATACTTGATCGCGACGAATTTCCAAAGGTAGATCAGATCTACAAATTTTTATATAAAACGGCAGTGTGCGCCTCGAAACGAGAGCGTATAAAGGCGGGGAGACACAAGGAAGATCGTGCGAGGTCGCAATTAAAAAGAGATATCCCGGCGCCGCGAACAAAGCGTTCGTAATAAATACGGCACGTGGTTGCATTATGTGCAATAATAAGAAACATCTTTTGTTCTTATGCGATAGATTTAAGGCGCTCTTGGTCGTGGATCGGATTGAGACCGTGAGAAAGGCAAAAATATGCTACAATTGTCTGCGTTCGCATCGTGATCAAGCCTGCAAATATTCGAATTGCACTATCTGCAATAAGCGTCATAATACGTTGTTGCATCGGGAGGATCTATCAAACGCGAATAAGACCGACGCGAAAGTGAACGCGAACGTAAATGCGGTATGACTAGACGATACGGACGGCAAGCAAACGACAGAGCGGACGTTGGTATCGCGAGACATAACGCCACAATTAGTGACCAGTGCGATGATTTATGTTGAGAACAATGCGAGCGATGTCATTAAATGTGAGCGTTATTGGATACGTGTGCTACGGCTAATTTCATTTCGGAAAGCTTAGTAAAACGGTTAAGATTGTCGGCGAAAAAACAAAAGACAACTATAAGCATGATCAATTCGCTTTATACGGCATCAGAGGGCATCGTAGAAATTACCATACGGTCAACGTGTACTGACTTCAGTAAAGAATTAACATGTATTGTGATACCAACCATAGTTAGTTTAATGCCGTCCGAAATTATATTGCGAAGAAATATTAAACATCTCACCGAACATTAAGCTGGCTGATCCTAAGTTTCATCTGCCGCGCGCGATAGATGTATTAATTGGATCCGGCGCTACGCTGGCATTATTTTCATTCGGACAAATTAATTTATCGGTCCCGGGACACCAGCTGTATTTACAAAAGACAAGACTAGGTTGGGTGATCGCAGGTAGTATGGCATTGTCGACATCAACGGTCAGTAATACGTGCTATTTAACGAAACTCGAGAGACAATTAGAGAAATTCTGGGTGGTCGAGGACGTCTCGGATACCGCAGCGGGGGGAGATGTGTGAATGCGAGCGGCACTTCCTAAACACGTTACTCGCGACTCGCACGGGCAATACATCATTCGATTACCATTCAAAACGACAAATAAACAACTTGGCGACTCGCGGAGCGCAGCATTGAAAAGGTTAGTGGGCGTTAGAGAGAAGGTTCTACACGAACGCAAATTAGAGAGCGAGTACAATCGGATCATAAAGGAATATTGCGAACGTAAGTACTTGACAGTACTCGACAATGTCGACGACGACGGTTATTATATGCCGTATCATCTCCTGTGTTCAAAGAATCAAGTAATACGACAAAGATTCGCGTGGTTTTCGACGCGTCCGCGAAGATGAACACGAGTGTATCATTAAATGATCTGTTATTAAGCGAACAACAATACAAGATAAATTATTCGCACATTTAATTCGGTTCCGGACATACCGATATGTTATGACTGCAGACATAGAAAAAAATGTATTTGCAAGTATTAGTACACGAACAGGATTGCTGTTATCAGCGAATTTTATGGCGCATAGACGATATGATAAGGACGTTGCAATTTAACACTCTCACGTTTGGCGTCGCATCGTCACCGTTTCTCGCGATACGAGTTATAAAAAAAATGGTGTAGATGACGAACATGATTCATATCTTTTAGCATCCAAGATCCTTCAGACACATCTATACGTAGATGACTTGTTAATGGGGACTGATAGCGTGGACGAAGCGCGGGCGATTAGAGAGAAATAATTGAATTGCTTAAATTCAGCTTTGCTATTCGACAGTGGGCGTCTAATGACGAACGCCTGACTAGTGGCTTGAAGCTACGGCATTGCATGCATGCTATACTATCGGCAAAGAGCAACACTTAACCACGCTCGGTGTGACATGGCAGGTGCGTGAAGACAAAATACGATACGATGTACGTAAAATCAAATCAACGGATAAGATAACGAAGCAAAACATATTATCGGAAATAGCTAATATACGACCCGTTGGGGTTGTTAGGGTCCATAATAATGCATGCGAAAAAATTAATGCAGAATGTGTGGCGGTAAACTGAAATGGGACGAATCAGTTCCACAGGATATACATTCGGCGTGGATATCCATTCGAAAACAACTAGATTTGATTAATCAAATCGCGTTTCGAGCGTAGAATTTCGTTAG